TGAACATTAAAGTCAACACTTAGAGACGACAGGTTTTTCATGATAGACGCAATCGCCAGGCTATGATTGCGTCTAGCATGAAACAACCTGTCGTCTCTAAGTGTTGATTTCAATGTTCACTTTTATATTTACGCACGTTCTATCTCTGATATTGAGCCCTTTATCCCATAAATATAGGACACCTTAAGAGTATATTTCTTCATATATATATATATATTTATATATATATATATATTGATCACTATTATCACTAATATATATATACTATATATATATATATATATATATATAGTTTTAGAATATATTGAGAATCGTTGGTTGGCAATCTTATATAGTGGACTTTCTCATCGATTTCAACGTATGAATGTCTAACGCATCGATTTTCTAGAACTGAACCACCAGACAACCTACTCATTGGATTTAATTATTGTGGCTAAGGCTTATGCAGAACCGACCCAACAGAGAAATGATGCACAGTGCACTACGAAGAGTCCAAACAGATCTTCTCAGGTTTGAAGGTTTTTTTTTTTAATTCTTCTAGTATGGTTGTCAGCCAAGTCTAGAGATCTAGTCTGTTCAGTTATTTATCCATAGCTTCATAACTTTATAAAGGATATTTGTCCGAAAATGAATGGAATTCGAACACGTCTCGCTGATTGCTTCTCTTTCTAAAACGCTAGTCTTTACCCTATTTACATACACATTATATATATATATATATATATATATATATATATATATATATATATATATATATATATATATATATATATATATATATATATATATATATATATATATATATATATATATATAAAAGAAAAACAGACCACTTTAAGGTAGCATTATAATAATTTATTTCACCAGAGTCATTTTAAAGGACGCCGGATTATCAGATAGGACTTCCAAAAATGAAATGAAACGTAAAATGAAATTAAAATTGATGGGTAGTGTAAGTTTTTGTAATTTAACAGAGAGTGTAAAAGGGATAGTTAAAGAGACATGGTAGAGTATAGGAAGGGATTAATTTCATATCTCTCTTTTATATATATATATATATATATATAATGTGTACGGCATTGGATCGGAGAAAGTGGAGGAGAGAGGTTGATGCAGGAAAGAATTTGTTTGAGAAAGAACGTGTTGAACATGAAAATCTGAAAAGAGATGTCCGGAAGTGTAATCAGGTTGGTTTCAAATGTGTAATATGACCGAGTCTGTTTGACCCTAGCTGGTCTGAAAAGTTACAGGAGAACGCATCAATGCACACCTGAGATCGGGTTGCACGTTACTTGATAATACAGCGTGTAATGCATGTGGAAAAGTGTGCAAAAGTTCAGCAGGATTAAAAAGACATGTTAAAATACACGGCAACGACGATGCAGGAACTGTTGTCAGAGATATCCATGTTTGCCACTTCTTTACCAAAGAATGTGTCTTTTGCAGGACTTAAAAGCCACATGAGAGCAGCTCATCGATAATCACTTTTATGTGTATTCAAGCAATGGCAGTGCTCGAACACGAGTTTGCAGCCATCATATATATATATATATATATATATATATATATATATATATATATATATATACTATTATAATAAAAAGGCTTAAACACTAATATTCCATGGTAATAATTTATTCCATTGGAATCGTAAATACGATCCAATTCATCAGACCTACAAATTCAAAAAGAAAAAACAACTCCGGAAATAAAAACAGAATTTAGAGAGAGTGTAAGTATGAGGAGGAGGGTGATCAAACCTTAACAGAGAGAATTTTACTATTATATATATATATATATATATATATAATTTTACTATATATATATATATATATATATATATATATAACAGAAAAAGCTATACATCGGGTTGACACAAGCATTGTGAGTGAAATTGGTTAGACTGAACCATTTGGGAGTCGTCGATCTTTGTGCTTACACGATTGCGCAAGTCATCGTGACCGAGGCTTTAAGTGTACTGGCCTTGTTCAGACTGTTGACCCCGCCAGGTAATGCGCGCTTTCCCAGATACTCTAACTTAGGTCCACTCAACATAGTTTCATAGCGCGTTCTGTAGGTCTTGAACAAAAACAAATGTGCCTGTGCTGGCGTCTGCAACAGGGATTGGCTAGCCTCCCTAATAGACAGGCTTAATCGAATAGGAGCGGCAAGCTACGAAACATATATTAGTAAACAGGTAAGCAAGAAAATATTTATATTTACAATCATTTCCGAAATCTTTATGGTACTTAGGTTTTATGAGTGTATGTTACAGCAGAAAATTCTTGATTAAACTATATCCATCCTTATAAGAATACGATCATAAAATAGACACGTATGTAATCAAATATGGGAATATTTTAAAATTTACAAATAGTTATCTGTTCATCGTAGAGGAAAAAAGATCATGTTGCCTTCCTAAAGTTCTTGATGCTTGAGAATGGTTTGTATGAGAAATCTTCATTACCTGAACTTTAACATGAATCAATGCTAAACACTTCAAATACTTCAGGGTATGGATTAGTTATAACAAATTTAGTGTACGTGTTAAAGAGATTGTAAACTGGTTGGTAACAATAACACCAGTACATTCTCCATTGGGAAAATTGACGTAGGGAATCTTTCTTTTTTTTTAAGCAATTCACCCCAAGCAAGATGGGAGTGCGACTAGCATGCAAGGGCTTACAGAGGATTGGGAACAAGAGTAAAGAGGCGTGTTTGAGGAAAGGATACAGAAAAGGACGGGAAACAAGCTCAGGATGTCAGAATTCGATTAACATTACACTTGAATATTTGAAGATGATAGTCATCAGGGAAGCAAGTAAGGGGAAGGGAGTTCCACAGACGGGAAGTGCGAAAGAAGAAGCTGTTTGAGTAGAAGAGACATTTACATTTAACCATTTTAACAGTAAAAGGGTGGGACCGAGATGCCAGCCTGGTAGCTCGCTTAAATTCATGCAATCTGGGAACCAGCGAAAGTAGCTTATCGGAACAGTTTTCGTGAAAATATTTATAGAAGAGACAGAGGGAAGCCACGGCACGTCTGTGGGATAGCGATTGTAGACTAGATGCCAGATCAAGACCTATCATATTGCATATTCGTCTATGGATTTTGTTGAGGACCTCGGGACGTATAGCCGGAGCACCAGACCATATATGACAACAATATTCCATGCAAAGACAGATGGTTGATTTATAGATTTGAAGAATGGACTCTGACGAGAAAAAACTTTCTGTCACGACACAGAGAACCAACTTTCCTTGCGGTAGATGTAGCTATTGATTCAATGTTTTTATTCCACCTATTTCAAATCCGCGACTCACGACTTCCAATACTGCATTTTGCCAACCCCCAACACTTTCCTCTCACTGTCTATTTATCTACCTCAGAGACCACACAGTCTTTTGTACACCTGGATCAAATCACGTGTCCCACACCGCGCTGGCTTAAACCGTGTTTTCTGCATTCCGAAGGACGAGAGTTTGATCTAGGCAAGTCACAACCGGGTTCTCTTTCTCTGTTGAACCGGTAAGTTATTATTTCCGCTTCAGATATAAAGCTACGCTAGGGATAGTTTCGCTCAGCGCCTCAAGTTGCTACAAAACCAAAACATTAACCTAAAAACTCGAGCCGTGTTTATAGACTGCTTAGATCAAGAATTTCATATGGATGTCATTCATGCTCGTTCAGAAATATTGAAACTGTCATCTGTATACAAGTACTTTTTCAGATCAATGGTTAAAAATGGCTTCGATCGAATGAAGCCTTCTTCAGACCTTGTGGACTAGCGCTACAAAATCATAACCGTACATGTAACAGAAACTACAACACTTAAGGATTTTCAACAGAAGCAACAACTAAAATGGATAGCACATTTTACTCGAAGAGATAATGACTATATTCAAGATGTTCCACATAACTTCAAGGAAAATGCTAGAAAGAGAATCCCTATCAATACTGGAAAGAGCAATAACAGTTAGTGGACTTGAGAAACATATTTCCCTGATAAAAAGTAGGATTTGAGTAGGATACCAATATCGATCAAAAGTAGATTTAAGTAGGATATCAATGTTAAAAAATAATCCTCTACAAAGTGATACAATTCCTTCTTCTTCTTCTTCTTCTTCTTATTATTATTATTATTATTATTGTTGTTGTTGTTGTTGTTGGTATGCTGCAATGGATAACGACTCGGAATGAAAAAGCGAAGAGAGGAGTTCGAAATTCAGTCGGTTTCGTCACATTCACTTACGCGCAAATAACCCTGGGAAAGGTATGAATTCATCTATTCTCCCCCCGTTATGGGTTAAATAGCAAGACAAACTGGGTTCTATAAACTTATTATTATTTAACGCATTCACACCAAATGTATTGTGTTCATCGCTGGCTTCCGAGTAAGAGAAATTCTCCGGAAATCTTCAACGTTTATCCACTATAAGGACCAATAGCCACTCAAGTTAGAGGGTTACTAAATTTGTTTTTTTTTTCCCGGACATAAGAGGAAGACTGGAAAGTAAGTTCAGATTATCAGGATATGAACGGTTGACCCTAGATTTGAAGAGGTTAAGATTGCTTTGCGTATGTAAACATAAACACGGGAGTCTGTTCCGCGATGTAGCGGTTCTTGTGAAAAAAGCTGTTCCAATGGAACTTACCAGTGAAGTACGAAAGGAATAAGGCTGGTTCGCCTGTGTCTATGGCATGAGAGATCTTAGCTGTAAGTGTTTGAATTTGTGGAACAAGAGTAAGTAGCTCGTCAGAACATTTTCCATGGGGACAACAGTAGAGTAGCGAGAGGCTTGTGAAGTTGTGTCTGTGAGAGAGAAGCTGTAGGCTGGAAAATAATTCTTCACTTACAAGCCCGCGTAAACACTTTTGCACTCTGTCCAGGATAGAAAGGATTGAGCAACTCCATTCCAGATATAGAACGAATACTCCATTTTGGGTCTGATCTGTTACATTAGACAAAGAAAGAATGACAGGTGGAATCACGAGCTTTCTAGAGTAGCATAAGAAGCGGGCCATTTTTTTCAGTGTTTCTATTTAGATAGATAGATAGATAGATAGATAGATAGATAGATAGATAGATAGATAGGAATTGACTGGGATAGATAGCTAGGAATTGATTTAGATAGATAGATAGATAGATAGATAGATAGATAGATAGATAGATAGGAATTGACTGAGATATATATATATATATATATATAGATAGATAGATAGATTGAGTGAGATATATATATATATATATATATATATATATATATATAGATAGATAGATAGATAGATAGATAGATAGATAGAATGGAATTGACTGGGATAGATAACTAGGAATTGATTTAGATAGATAGATAGATAGATAGATAGATAGATGAATAGATAGATAGATAGATAGATGAATGGGAATTGACTGGGATAGATGGCTAGGAATTGATTTAGATAGATAGATAGATAGATAGATAGATAGATGAAGATAGATAGATAGATGAATGAATAGGAATTGACTGATATATATATATATATATAGATAGATTGACTGATATATATATATATATATATATATATATATATATATATAGAGAGAGAGAGAGAGAGAGATAGATAGATAGATAGGAATTGACTGGGATAGATAGCTAGGAATTGATTTAGATATATAGATAGATAGATATATAGATAGATAGATAGGAATTGATTGAGATAGATAGATAGATAGATAGATAGATAGATAGATAGATAGATAGATAGATAGGTAGGAATTGACTGATATATATATATATATATATATAGATAGATAGATAGATAGATAGATAGGAATTGACTGAGATAGATAGATAGATAGATAGATAGATAGATAGATAGATAGATAGATAGATAGATAGATAGATATTGACATAATTTTTCCGTTTTTAACGGCAGAGAAGAGAAAGAAAAACAAGATATATACAGTTGGCGGTGAAGAAGCGTTTGAAGATGTGTCTCTTCTCTCCCTGATAACCGTTCTTTTTATAAACGTTTCAGTTGTGACCGAAAACTTGACAATCGTTTTATTTTTTTATTCATTCATTAATCACTATAATGTGCGAAAGGCACACAAAACATAAATAGATTATAAAATATACCCCATGGTCCGTCTGCTGCTATGCCCCATTAATAAAATGAGGAAACGGTTGGGTACAGGCTGTTTGGTCTCTTGTTATCCTTTGATAACATCTTATAGAAGACATTTATTCTCACAAAATTTCAATAGGTAGAAATGAATTGTCCACCGGGTTAAATTATGAGACATGTACATTGTTATAAACGATTTCGGAACATATAAGCAAGCATAAGTTGTGTGAATTCATTCAAACAGATACACACACGCGCGCGCGTATATATATTAAAATTTGTGTATTTAGGCAGCAAATTCTCTTTTAGGCATGTCTGATTGAATAAATTACAAACATTAAGTCTGCTTATTTTTATCACAATCTTTTTATATTCACGAATATTTTTTCTTGTATTACAATTAAATAAGGCAAGAAATGCACTGTAACAGCGAGAATCACTTTTATTTCCCCAAAACGATCCATCTCTTTCTGATGAGGATCTCAGGAGATGGAAACTATATGAATCTCTTTCGGCGTGTATGATGAAATTTGTTTGGATTTGAAAAATATTGTGTCATCAGTGGTTGCATCAGATTTTTATTACGCCAAAACACTATTGTCTCGACTGTCGTTTAGTTGGCCTGTGGCCATTGTCTGCGAGGGACGTTACTCCAAGAAAGCGTACGAAAATTGTAATGCTGCATGAACACACTGGCAAGCCTTACTAGTGAGTAAGTCAAAGTACTATAGACTGGATGGGAAATTCTGCGAGAATCTGTGGTCAATTTGCAAGGAACCACTTTCTGGAATGCACATACGAAATATTAACATGTTAACTGGCCATTTGTATTGTAAAAATACGAAGAAAGTAAGTAATAACGGAATTATTCGTTTTGTTTTAATTAATTTGCATATAGGGCATATATATATATATATATATATATATATATATATATATATATATATATATATATATATATATATATATATATATATATATATATATATATGTGTGTGTGTGTGTATTTGTGTGTGCGCAGGTAAGTAGAAAAATAGGAAAGAACACGTTAGGTAAATAATCCAGGGTTCTTTAGTACTTTTTGTTTTTATTTAAAAAAAAAACAGTGCTCCATACAGAAGTAGAACTTAGATTATAATTATTTTTTTAGGTAAATAATCCAGGGTTCTTTAGTATTTTTTGTTTTTATTTAAAAAAAAAAAACAGTGCTCCATACAGAAGTAGAGCTTAGATTATAATTATTTTTTTAAAAATGTGATTCATTCGCTTCGTAAGAGTTCTGATGTTTCAAAAACGAGAGCCGAAACCATCAATATAATTATTAAAATTACATTGAATTAAAGTAACAAGCACTGTTTCATCCTCAAGCGAAAATTTAGGAATAACCAATTTTGAAATTTACGTATCGTTATAAGCGTGTTCATTCGTTACCATGGAAACGGCTGGGGTGACCATTTTTGAGGGGTCCAAGAGTTAATTTTTATCCACTTATCAGTCACCTTCAGGGAGAGGTCAAGCTGACGTAGGGTGGGGGGTCCATTTCAAAGCGAATGATGTCTTTCTTGTACGTGCATCGTCTGTTCATTCACAGAGAAAGATAGATTTTGGCACCATCGTATGTTGTTACGTGTCTGGATAATTTTGTTTTATTTTATTTTATTTATTTATTTATTTTCAACTCCCTGAAGGTGACTGATAGTCCCTTTTGTGTCCATATAATCTTTTATTCAGATTCTTTGATATTTCTTGTATGTGTATTTTGTTACAATTATTAAAGACGATAGAATACATTCCTACTTCAGGTTTTAGGTTATTGTTTTCCTTACTATTGACTTTTATTGTTTTAGATGTAGTAGCAACAGATTTTATGTTCAATTTAGATAGATTTTTTCCAATTGTAGATGTGATAGAGTTAGTTGGTAGGACAATAAACTTTTGGGATTCATTGGGTTTGTCAGTAGGTATTGGTTTTCTATTTTTTTGAACATTTAGCAGCCTTTTGTTTCGCTTAAATATATATATATATATATATATATATATATATATATATATATATGTATCTCAAAAAGTTTCATGAAAAAGATCCGACAAGCTTTGTGTGTTTAATTTATTGAAAACAATAAAATTTAAATAAACATACCATTTAAGTTCTTTTTAATCAAACTGATTCGGATGAATACTTGCTGCCTTCTCTCTCTCTCTCTCTCTCTCTCTCTCTCTCTCACACACACACACACACACACACACGCATACACACACACACACGCGCATATATTCAAACATATTTCATTGAATAATATAGATGTATTCAAATACTTTATATCAGCATCAACCAACGACACTCAACGAAATGTATTACGAATATAGCAACATGTTAAAGTTCATATAACATTTAATGCCATTTTATATTTCTCACAATTTCCAGTCAGGTTTCTTATATTGAAAATCTTGTTTTGCAAAAAATTCCATAACTACAACGGATAAATTAAAAATTATTAAAATAACTGTTAACAGAGTACATTTGTGCATGCTTTAAAAAATCACTATTACAAAGGAATGTAGATTTTATCGCTTTGACAATAAGTTTGTCTTTGTAATTTATCCATGAAGATAATCTTAGAAGAGGTCGAATGTACTTGGGTTATAAAAAATCTATGCCGCCTTCTTTCATGAATTTCATCTTAACATCAAGAAACCGATTCGACAACTGGAAGGGATCAGTGTAAAAATAAATAGACATAATATATGCATATTATTCAATGAAACATGTTTGAATGAATGAATGATGCCTATGTATATATAAGTCTGTCTTGCTATTCACACATAGCTGGGGGAGAAGAAGGGTTTTCATTACTTTTCCAAGGGTATTAGCATATAAGTGAATGCAATGCATTTGACTGAAATACGAACTCGGCTCTACCAATTCCTCAATCCGAGCCGCTATCCATTACTTCAACCATATATATATATATATATATATATATATATATATATATATATATATATATATATATATATATATATATATATAAATATATATATTATTGCATACGGAATAAATTCCAATAACCAACAATTACTATTCTTAAAAGATTGCTCAATACAAGTAGCGGCGGATATATATATATATATATATATATATATATATATATATATATATATATATATATATATATATATATTTCCACGTATAAGACGAGACCCAAAATCCAGGTAAATTTTCATGATTTTCTCTGATATCCGTGGTAAAAGAAGACAGACTGGTTTCTATATGACTAAACTGTAAATGACGATGTTTATGATAAGCTCTTTGCATCAGATGGTGGTCATCATTTTAATTGTCTTATGTTTTTTTTTTTTTATTCCGTAATGAGAAATAAAAATTTTGTTGCATTTTAAATATTTTGTTGTTTAACACCGAAACAAATACCGTATAATATATATTATTGAAAAATAAAATTTGCATGTTATACTAAATGTTCTTATCTAACCCCACAATGATAATGAATTTTAATTAGAAATATAAATTGTATGTTATCCTAAATGTTGTTATTTAACACTACTATGAGAAATAATGATTAGTCTGAACAATAGCTCCACAAATCAAAAATCAATGAAGATTTAAGTTACTTGTTACTTGCGTATGTTGCTCAATGGAACTTTTGCAAATTGTTTGTCATCATCGTTTGAATATCGCATTTTAATGAGAAATTAATCTCTTGAATATTGCATTTTAATGTTGAACATGGCGTAATGGTTATCGCGCTTATCTCACTAGAACAATTACCACTGAGTAGTGAGTTCAATCCTCACTGGGTGCTCAATACCTTATGCCACAAAATCATTTGGGCACCTCGTTGTGGTGTAATAGTTAGCAAATGTTCTTGTTATAATAATTACGACTGACAAGTGAGTTCGATCCTCACTGAGTGTCCCATACTTCTGCCCCATCTAAGCTTCACTTAGAAAATGGCCGTGTTGCATTTTAATATGAAACCAAGAAGTAAAAGTAGTTTTATTACATTTATAACGGTAGTATAGCATTATAATGTGAATTGTTGTTAGTCTACCGCGATTAATGGCACTAGCATATTAACCTACTTACCAGTGCCGATACACCACAGCATTTAAGATTAGCTTTTTGTAACGAGAGGGGATGATGATAGCTGATGATATCAGAGGGGTTGATGATAGCTGATGATATCAGAGGGGATGATGATATCAGAGGGGTTGATGATAGCTGATGATATCAGAGGGGATGATGATAGCTGATGATATCAGAGGGGTTGATGATAGCTGATCATATCAGAGGGGATGATGATAGCTGATGATATCAGAGGGGTTGATGATAGCTGATGATATCAGAGGGATGATGATAGCTGTGTACAGATCAGCTTGAAATACACTATCCCCATGTTGAGGTAATTTTTGTTTTTTTGTTTTTTGTTTTTTTTTTTGCTGTAAAAAAATACATGTTCTGTTATAATAAATACATTTCTGTGAATCAGTTTTAATAATTAATATTACTATGATCCACCCGGATTATATACGATCGGGATCGATTATATATATATATATATATATATATATATATATATATATATATATATATATATATATATATATATAGATATATATATATATATATATATATAGAGAGAGAGAGAGAGAGATGAATGGATGGATGGATGGATGATGCGGTTGTCAAAAAGTGCGATTGGTGTGTCGTGTTCAAATCCCAGTCGAAGTCGTGGCACAAAAAAAAACTCGGTAAAAGTATGAACCTCTGTAAATGTATGAACCTTTGTAAATGGATGGATCCTAGTCGAAGTCGTGACACAAATAACCTCAGTAAAAGTACAAATCAATACTCCCCTTCCCACCTTGGAGTTAATGGCCGGGTAGACTAAGGTGTGTATGTTTCGACGGCAACCAGTCTTGGTGAAGGACAACTCTGAATCCAAATCCGTTGGTCGTGAGACCAGCAAATTTTGCCTGTAAAAACCTTGGTATTCAGTAGTAATATCTATCGTGGTGAGGCTGTGTCTTTCTACTTAATGGAGAGTTTACAGGATTAATACACCACCCATATATATATATATATATATAAATCGAGAGAGAGAGAGGGAAAGAGAGAGAGAGAGAGAGGGGTGAATAGCCCTTCCCTTCCCTGATTAAAGTTCTTGGCTACCCAAATCTGACCTAATGATCGAACATCAGAATTTTGAGGAAATCCTATCATTTCGAACTTTGAAATTGTCATTTCAGAATCAAGTTCATGATTCTTTTGGACTTGACACAGTTCATACCTGTACAAAACCGTATTATTCAAAATATTTTCAATTATTAATCAGCCTTTAAATTTTGATATTTACTAATCTTAGTTTAGTACGGGACAAGGTCAGAAGGAGTAGTCAGCTTTTGTAAGGCCAAACCTCCAAGTTTGGAGGGACTGTTTGCTTTAAAAATTAGTATTCGAACTTTTGCGTGGGCCTTTGACACCAGTAAAAACATCTGTTAGTTGTTTGCTACAAAAAGCTGGATGAAGCAATAACTTTCGTAGACTTACAAGCTGAACACAATAAAACCGCTCCCAAAAGATCGTTCTGATTATTTGGTTAGCTCGTTTTAGGTAAGTATAATTCTAACTTCACTAAAAAAAAAAAAAAAAAAAAAAACGTTTTTATTTTATTGTGACAACTGTCATAAAAAAATATGCGTTTAAAAAATATCTGGAAGATTGTAAAAGGTAGGAGTTACTTTAAAAGGCAGTAGTTATAGTAAAACGGTTCTGAGAGGATGGAATAATGAATCGGATTTGATTAAGACTGAAGATAGTGGAACAAAATGTTAATATATTGTTCAATAAATGCTGAAAATTTTTTTTTTAATGTCCTAATTTTAATTAAATTGAACATACTTTAAATCGAACGTACTTCAGACCCACAATATATCATTACTTTAATCATATAAATAAAAAGTACTTCCGGTCTGTATTTGATTCCTTCGCCTCCAAAATTGGAATAAACTCAAGAATTCTGCTCTAATTACTCTCTCTCAGCTGTTTCGGATTTTGATAGTTTGTATAATGAACATTAACATATTTTTCCTTCCCAGAGAACCACGCCCAGAAAATATTATTTGTAGATTTTATTCGTGCAGTTATTTATTCATGTCTTTACCTTTCTCCAACCTCTTTCTAATACGCGTGATTCCTCACAGACGCTATATTCTCGCTGTTTCATGTTTCTCCTCTGTTGTAAAGAAAATAAGTCATGTGGTTTTTCAATTAATGTTATCATTTTGTTAACGAATAAAAGATGAGTATAAATATTAATTTCTTAAAATTCATCTACAAAAGGATAAATTTATATGAACTTATTCATGATCATATGAAAGAATTATTTTAATTTGAAATATCTTGGGAGATAAACCAAAGGACACTAAGATCGCAAGAAATAATATAAGTATGTACTTCATTAAATTTTGTCAAAGAAAACATCTCCATTTTTTGGAAGACCTTATATTATGAAACTAAATAATTAATTAAAACTAGTAACACGAGTAGACCTAAATTGAATGATTTATTTGTTTTTATGTTTTTTGTTTTTTTTACAGCTTAACAAGTTTTTGCAGTTTGTTTAAAGCCGGAAAATATTTTTAGATTGTAATAATGTTTTGGAGATAATAATTTATTGATACAAATCCTACTAATTAGCCCATAGTGGGGGGATAAGGGGGGAATCATACCTTTCCCAAAAGGTATTTGCGCGGAGTGTGAATATAATGAACCTGACTGGAATTCGACTCTCCGATTCCCGAATTCCGAGCCGTTATCCATTATACCACCTGCACTGGTATTCCCAACCTGTCACCGATCTAGGTACTGACCAATCTCAACGTTGCTTAGCTTCGCTAATCGTATGAGAATCAGTGTTTCAACAGTCTACCTAAAATATACTGGCGTATTATATAAACAGATTTAATTAATACACACACACACACACATATATATATATATATATATATATATATAATATATATATATATATATATATATATATATATATATATATATATATATATATAGGCGACAGGCAATCGTCAGGTCAGTAGTGTTGTTTTTTTCTCGGCTATTTATATATACGTGTCAGTGGTTTATTGTGGCTAATTCTATTTTGGCGGTTATTTTGCTGGAAGTCGTTTATTTCTTTCTTTATTTATTTGGGTTAAATTATTTTGCTTGTTTTTATTTATTTTTATTTTTCATTTCTTTTTTGATTTTTATTTCTTACCTTATATACTTATTTATTTATTTTTATTTTAATCTGTGTTTCATTAACGTAGTAAAAATTTGTTTACATCACATATTTAATAGTTTTGTTTTGGTTTGGGAAGATAATTAAAGCTATTTATTCAATTTTGGGATTGATTGCTGTAGGGCTTATGACTGGGAGTTTGGAGGTTTTGAGGAACGTGTGACCACCTCTTGACTGCTGTTGTTCGCCAGATCCCCACTTTAGCCGTTCAATTTCATAATTACCGAATCTTCCTACCTTCTCAAAATTACCGAATTTTCCGTTACCGAATCTTCCGTTACCGAATTTTCCTAAATTCATTTTAACTAAATAAAAGAGGCTAGCAGGCTTGTGTATGAATTCTTAATTCTAATATTAAATTTCGTTTTGTTTTTCTTCTTTTTTCCTTCACTTTTCTTTGATTCGTTTTATGCACATATCGATTGATTGATTTGTTTGTTTTTTACGGCCTATTGTAATTTATTTAAATCCAGAAAATATTTTTAGATTGTAAGATAATAATAATTTACTGATACAAGTCTTACTAATTAATCCATAGCTTGGGGGAAAAGAGGTGAATTCAAACCTTTCCAAATGGTATTTGCGCGTAAGTAAATATAACGAACCTGATTGGTATTGGAACCCACCTCTGCGATTTCCAATACACCACCTGCTCATCGAAGCTTACAGCAGCCTCTACTCTCAAGCAGTCACCCATCTAGTTACTAACCAGGCTCAACGTCGCTTAATTACGGTGATCGTATGAGAAATGGTGTTTCAAACCTGATTTGGCCATAAGCCTGCACATACCGAGTTATTTTAACTGGGTAAATAGTAACCTTTGATACATTATTATGTTTTGTCACACAGAGTATGTTTTTGAATACAGTGGGTACATTACGTTATCTCTCAAGTCACAACACCCATTCACTTAATGTCCGCTGTGGTCCAATTAAGGATGTTGAAACTGTATTGCATCAAAGGGAAAGTCAAAGTGTTTATGGCTGATATTCTCTTTTGTGAATTCAACTCTGTATTTAACCTCAGACGCACAGGCCTGTAATATTCTTTTCTTACGTTCTTCGTCATTTCGATATGCTGTATTCCATCTCTTTCGCTGACTCCTAGGTATTTATAGGCTTCTTCCTGTTCCAGTTACCTAATCTTTCTGACAAAATCTAGATCTATCGAGTGTGTTTCTTTAATTCTTCCTTTCTTGAATGTTACTTTTGCCCATTTATCTAATCCGAAATCCATACTTATGACGTCACTGAAGCATTTTACAGTACTGAGGATACCCTTCAACTCATTTTCGTCTTTGGCAAAGACTTTGAGATCATCCATGTAGAATAGGTGCTTAAACACTTTATTTTTACTTTGTATCCATAGTTATTACAGAACAGTAGGGGCAACAGAGAGTCTCCTTGAAAGATTCCTTGTCGGATATTTAAACAATTGAAAGTGGCTGTATCTTTGGTGTGATTTAGGTATCATGTGATTTTCCACAGTTTCATGTCATATTTAAGGAAATTTACTATCACCGAGGAGAATGTGTATTTCCAAAGCCTTAAGGATCCAAGAGTGTGGTACACTATCAAAGACTTTACGATAAACTACACAAGCTGTGTTGAGATTTCTACCTTTTTTCATACAATTTTCCACAGTCATTTTATTTATTAGTAGTTGACCTTTGCAATCGTATGAACCTCTTCAGCACCACTTCTGCTCCCGGGGAAGAATGTTGTTCTCATCGAGAGCATAGTATGTACATTTTGTCAGGACAGACGTAATCAATTTATATGTGGTGGACTATAATTTTTTTAGTAATATGTTTCACCCGATTTTGGTAGGAGATATGTAATCAGAGATACCTTCTGGAATTTCATTGGGGTTAATAATTATTATTGATAAAGTTTGTGCCAGAGTTTTATGGATTAATAACAGATGATAGAGCCAAAAGTTGGGTACCTTATCATTTCCTGGGGATTTCCATTTTGGGGATTTTTTTAGAGCTTGCCTAACATTATTCATAGTTATATCTTTCCATTCTTGCACAGCTTAGCCTTCATTTTTTCTTGTTTTCGTTTCACCATTATGTATTTAGATTCTATTCCTTTGGGTTGCTCCAAATATTCTCCCCAAATTTTTGCACTTCTTCAATAGATGGCGGTTTTTTGACTTCTAGAAAAGCTTTTTCTATTTCCATGTAAAACTTCTTGGGGTTCGTTTGGAATATCTTATTTTGTCGGTAGAACCTACAACGCTTTTCATATCGTCTTGTTCCCTATTCCTTTAATAACACTGAGGAGACTTTGTACATTATTATTATTATTGTTATTATTGTTACTATTATTATTATTTCCTTTGATTTCTGGCGTGTACACATTTCTTTCCGGGTCCCGCCCAGAGACCTAAGGTTAGAAATGGTATCATGACACTTTCCACTGACAAAAAAAAAAAAAATAAAAAACATATTATACATAGATAAAGCCCTTCATAAAGTGTGGGCTGTACTTGTGAGAACAATTTTTTATATTTCTTTGAGGCATGAGCTTCCAGTAATCCCTTCAATTAGTCTACTGGAATCTTTTCCGACCAATCCTAGGGCTCCAACTACAACAGGGATTGTTGATGTTCCCATGTGCCACATTTATTATTATTATTATTATTATTATTATTATTATTATTATTATTATTATTATCTATCGGGTTTAGTATTGTTCCTAGGTTAAAAGTAAATAATTTTGTTCAGCGCTCCTGAAAATGCGGCAAATACCTGGGAAAGTTCAGAGGGTACAACGGACAAAAATACAAAAAAGAGACACTATGAATACAGTTTAAGAGAATCAATATAAAATACGCTTACGTGTCTAATAAATGGGGTGGAGACGTTTATTTTATGGAGAACATTTTTTGACACCCCCGCCACGTGGTAATTTGGTAATTCATTGATAACAAGATCTTTGTAATATTATTCATTAATAGTTTTACAATGCACTTTATGCGTGTTTATTGTAGTTTGGTCCAGGTTTAAGTGCTTAACCCTAACATATACATATATATATATATATATATATATATATATATATATATATATATATATATATATATATATATATATATATATTATACATAATTGGACATACACACATCAATTTATGAACGTAAGAACATAATCCCAGCGTAATGCTACACCTCAAGCTTAAGACTACCTTGTTTATTAGTTTCGCACTTTTTAACCCTCCAAATAACTTTTCGATCCCATTTTTTACTAAAACTCCCATTTATTTAGCTCTTTAAAAAGTGATACCTACGCTTTAAAATGCATTTTAAAAATGAAAATCTTTCTTGAACTTTCTTATTTTAGTTTACCTTGCAAACTAATAGATTAAATTTAATATTCGCAATAAGCAAAATAAAATGCATTTAAACTGAGTGGAATATTAAAATATTCTAATATTTTATTGTATTTAAGTCCTTTATATTTATAGTTTTAATTACGAGCATGCTTACAGAGTAAATGTTAGAAAATTACCAATGAATTTTAAATTTAGTGTAGTTGCCACTTATCTTCTCGTAATTTCGTGTATGGACATTTTTTTTTTACAAAAATCGGCACGTTTATACACAAACAAAAAAAAAATTCAAAATTATTTTTAAAATGCTAGGATCGCTTAATCGTAGTAAGCTTTTCCATTTATGATTAGTAAATATAGCTTTTATTGAATAACAATATCAATTGACCACTATAAATTAATAAAGAATTTTTTAAAAATTTCAAAGTTTATAAATTATTCTAATTAAAATTATACAAAATGAAAGCAATACTTGTAAAAATTAATTATTCATCAATTTTTCTTTCTGAAGACCATAATATCCAAAATATATTTGATTCATAAAAGCAATTAAAAGCATTTATAATTGAATATTGTCTCAGTTTTATTCATTTTTTTATCTAACGATTCAGAGCATAGTTTCTCTAGCTAGAAGTCCAGTTTAATTTAACCAAAAAAATTGTGATATAATTTCTCTTAGGACTTGTCCTTATAACTAATATAATTATTAAGTGCTACAAAAATGAATTTTCATAAAATTAAATAAGTGATGGTTAACAAATGTAAAAAGAAAACATTACTTAGATTTTCTAAAAAAAATTCATAAATAATTTCATTAATTTGTGAATAAGTCCTAAATGTATTACGACAATTATTTGATTTTTGTAAGAATTTCCAAATCAATATATTTTGCGACGCAAAGAGACGCTCAAATTTCCCATACTAATTTAGGGTCCCCTGTTGACGCCATAGAAACAAAGATTTTTAACCCAAGGTACTAAAAAGAATTCAAAAGAAATAATTTTCACATAAAATATCCTTTGATCTTTCCTCGTAATAATAACACAAGGATATTGGCGATAAACTGTTTTTATTAAGTTTTGAGCAGATTTTCATCAAGTATGCTCACTTATTTGTCAATCTTTGAAGGTATCAATGTTTATTGCACATTGAGAAAAACCCTGCTAAAAATATCGTGATTGAAGGGTTTGAAAATTCATACCGAAAAAGAAAAACGCGAGCTATGTACAGGAAGAATAAAAATGACAAATAAAACAACTACTGAAAACATAAACAGCACGGAACAATCAAATATAAATCTATTAAAAGTCACCGGAAGCAGGTCAACGCTTTCAAACTGAGGACACGTGACATATCAAATTCAAATGTTAACCAGTTGAGTACAGTTCAAACGAACGCCTTCATAACATTTTGACACATGGCTGGCGTCACCGTTTCCCGCCTTGCTTGTAGTTCAACGTTCACATTTAATTCCTTTGATCTTGAAGCGACTCTGCGGACGCTTTTCTTTGCTCAGGGTGAACTTACGCCTTGTTTTCAAAGAAGTCAAATTAAAGCAACAATATATAATCCGCTAAATGAACAAGTCGATCTTATACAACGAATGTTCAAAACAAAACAAAAAAGATTTGCATCTTTATTTCCAAAGAAAATAGCGGCCATTTTGAAGTGCGGAAAATCTTACTTATACTGCAAATAGAGACTTGATAGCTTTGCCGGCAAAGGGCGTTTATTGTTTTCACTATTTTCCTTCATATATATATATATATATATATATATATATATATATATATATAAACACATCTGTGTGTGTATGCGTGTGTGTGTGTGTGTGTGCGCGCGCAGTGGTCATAATTTAGGCGTTCATTAAGATAACTTAATTTCAGTTCAACGTTACGAAATATCGTTAGTAACAATGTCTATCTTATATGCAGATAGAATTGCTTTGTTTTATGACGAGAAAGTGAAAACGTACACAGAATCCAATTAGGTAAATTGCTCTTAAAGCATGTAAATATTTGAAAATTGCCTTCAAATTTCGTTTTCGAGCTAAACCGACATTATGACTGGTGTAAAGTAGACTCCGACTCACAGAGTGTCCATAATTAACACATAGATAGAGTGACGATAAGTATTCTCCATTACAGCGGGAATTCACAAGGCAAAGTCATGTTCTCATTCGACAACTCGCTGCAATATTCAAGTAGAGCAGATGGGCAGTTTTGGTTTAAGTGAAAGGGCGAAAAGAAATTGTAGTCGTTTTGTTTTGTTTTTTTTTTTTTACTTTTTTGTTTTAGCATTGAGTTCATTTTAGGATTCAGGTTAATAGAATCATAATCTGACATTCAATCCCAGCGAAGGCACGTGGTGAGATGTGGGCGTGCCTCGTTTTGGAATTTTGGAATCGAGTGCAGCTGATTAAGGTCTTTCCGTTATCTGTTA